AACTAAAACCAGGGGATAGTCAATCAATAAAACATTGTGCTATATGAGTTCAAAGCAAAGGATACCTTTGAGGAGTGCTCAGATGAGTTATAACCGGACCAACATTTTGATGCCGGAATTGTGCAGTAAGCTGAAACGGCTAGGGAATAACCAATCGAGCGATGCCTTGTGAGTTTGTTCGGATATAACTAAGAGGTCATCCCCATTTAATCAACGTGGCGTCTCGGGTTGTTGTCACTGGTAGTTTATGTTGGATGACTCGCTTACCGGACCTAATAAGGTTTGCGAGTATGTGAATACTGGGCCGAAGAAAATCCGTTTGTACATTTTTGTGAAATAATTGAACAAACCCTTATACACGAGTATCGCGGATTGCTCACAAAAAACCCGCTGGAAATTTCATGCCACCCACGGGTGACCTCATCTCGACCGTGTACTTCGGCGAAGGCCAAATTACAGGTTGATGGCGAACTCAGTTTCTTCATGACGGTCTACCAAAATGTGGCAGTAGTTCACTCTTAAGGATCAGCCGACAATAAGGGGACACGGGCACTAGAAGTACGCCATCAGCGATACTTTCAACGACGCATATACCACCCATTAGAGCTCTTAGTTCATCAGCTTTGAAACGAATGTCCAAACACTCAGGTCTATCACTTTGAGCTTATATTCTGCGTCACCGTTAAGGAGCAACGCACAAAGTCAGTGAATCGCTAAGCCTATGATCTCATCTGTTATCCGAAAACCGCTAAATAATAAGTTGGGAGAGTACGTGTACCGAAAGACGAGCACTATTGGTGATTATTAACTGCTAGTTATCACTTACTATGCACTGTGGCCACGCCAGCCTGTAGAGTATAGTGCTATCGCATTCATGACAAGCCTTATTTCAACCCCTGTGATCAGTGACATTGCCTAAACACGATGATCATTTTAAAGGGTACTCTACCGACTAGACCAACCTTTACGCCATCAAACAGGATGCATTCCATCCGAATAGCGTGCTTATAGTAGCAACAGAGGTACACATAAAATTGCCCTAGCACAAATCAATTTAAGTGGAAACAACTTGCCTACTAAAGTAGAGATACGTCATTGCGAAAAAGGAGACTATTGTAGTACAATTCGTTCCTAACTAGACTTTCGCTGTCGCAGTGGTGCTGGACAGTCAGTTCGAAAAGGAAATGTACGACATGAATAAAAGGACATAGTGTAGATCACATAGCTTTTAAAGGACTGAATAAGGGAATAGATGCATAGGATTAACCTGTTCACAGAAGCACAACTAGTGGTAAACGTCAGAAAATTAGACAGCAATCAAGAGTAAGATGCAAATATAGAAAACATTATAGCCCAAATGCTTGTCAAACTGCTACAGATTTGTTACTTCCTAGATGTTGTTCATCATCAGGATGAGTGGACCAGCTGATGCGCTTTTATCTTTAGTGGACCGCGACGCCCAGTGCGGCTTAGTTAGAGTAGTTTAGCCAGCCGTAACAGTCACTCATACACATTTGGTCTTTTACTGCCTCATGGCAGATTCGATAAGGAGCGATGCTGCTGAGATTAATAGCCCTGGTTAGCGAATTCGGTTGTCTGAATTCCAGGAGGCCAGCATGTACACATGTTTGTCTAAGTCGCTTTGCTTAGTACCAGCAGACAAACATTCCTTACAGTTAAGTTACTCATATGTATGCCTAGTTGGACAATATTCTCCTGCATCTCGTGTCCGTAGCCTACCGAATTTGATCCTTTCGAGAGTTGTTTCCGTGAGGATACATCTAGATACCAGGTGAGAAACCTCACTGGGTGTCAGCTACGCCAAACTTGGTGGTCAAACTATGTGTGGCATCCATCCAATGTAACGAACAGCGTAATGAGGAAACCTTATCTACAGTTTATGCGAAGCAAAGTGATTCCATGCATAAGGTTAAAGCACCTTACTTTACCTCACCTACATGCACGCATACCCTAAGCATGTTACCATTAAATGGAGAGGACAATATAATCAAACTAGCTTATTTCAAGAGTCTGTAGTACCCAGCACAGTAACCCGCCCAGCTGTGGTACGATTGCTGTTTGATAAAGGTGTTTATTTTCGTAAGGTATTAAGGGAAACAAAGATGCTTTCATTACCAGTTCGCCTTTAGTTATGTAACTGGCAACTCAGATTTAAAATTTATCACAGGCACTAGGAAAATTTTCCACTAACATGTATGCGTACAGAACAAGATAGCTCACATAACATAAGCTTCATCAAGTTGATACATTGTTGCGCAAGCAAGTGTACCATTAACGTCAACTGGGGGAAGCCCTACGGTACTTCAACGTATCACAAAAACATAGTTCTTGCGCCAGAATTTAGTACGGCAGTATGTCACGTTTTACTCATCAACAACGTAATTCAAATCACTCTAAAGATTACATTATCCCAGACGTCTAGCTTTTGTCAAAATATAACTGTTGCGGAACAACCCGTTACGCTTCAAAGGAACGCTGTGTTCCCTATATGTTTGTTTCTTGCCCTACCTCATTTGCTCTTTACGGTAGTTTTCTGAAGCTGCCGTATACATTTTAAGAGCCGGATTCACTTCAAATGCATGGACCCGTCAGAGTTGATTTATTTACGAAAATTTCAACGATTTTACTCATTCTAAAATGATTAAGTAGGAATATAGCTATTGATTTCCATTGTTGTCCTGAACTTTCAGAGTTCAAAGAATATTCGAGGATATAAACAGCCAAAATTCGCATATATTCGACGTAGATTGTGATGGTAATCAAATTCCTAGCAAATACCTATGCAAAACGTTCATACAGAATGCTGTTAACCACTGACACTGGTGGGTATTATTGGCTTTATCAGAAGATCACTTTTCACTTTTGACTGAAATCAAGCGATAACACTGGCATTTCCATAACTGTTCATTTGGACGGTGAGCAGGAGTAAGTAATGAAATTTGTCTAGCAGGGGTGTCCAAATTTTTTGTACGGAGGGCCACATTTTGTGAGGTAAAGATATGTCAGGCCATATTCAGTCCGATCTTAAGATAATAACAAATATTGCACATGTACGAGAACAATCCAGTCCGGAATTTATTGGTACATAATGAGGCCGCTTGCCAGTTGAAATGTTACCGTGGACCGCATTTGGCCCGCGGGCCGGACTTTGGACATCCTTGGTCTATGGCTAATCGTGATTTCTTACATTGGGCAATGAAATGATGCGGAAACAAGATATATCCTTTTCTATTTGTCTCTTAGTGCCCAGGCCATAGTAATCCACTGAGCTAAAATATAGTGCTTAGCGCGAAAATCGCAAAACGGTAACTCCTGCAGGTTTAATCATACTCCGATTCAACACATGACGTTTATAGGCTGGGAAACCAGAATAATTTGTTCTCTGGCAACATACGCGGTAAAAACAGATGCCAATTGCCTTATATATGTCATAATTTCACACTTGGTGCCATTCATGTGTTTTGCATATTGAACATACTTTGTAATCTTATTACGAGGGGCCAGTTTCCGGATACATTATATTCGGTACAAGTAATTGCAGTCTACTTCAATGTAGCCTTAATGAATGCCGCCCCTTGTATCCTAGATGTTATCGTTCGGACTATTAAATATACTTTATACGACCTTCTAGTTATACGAGGGGCTGTGTTTCCCTAAGAAACAGTCTGCTACGGTCCATTAGAGAACAACTGATTATAATAAATGGAATTATTAAATTGAAAACACTTTGGAGCTTGATGCTTCCTTATGACGATTTAAGTGTAGAGTAGAAGCCCAAAGCTGAGGCTGTTAGAATTTGTGTACATCAAGGAGCCAACCATTTGCGTAAGTACCACAGAATGATAGCATGGTGTTGACATCTAGTAGCACTGATCAATATGCAGTGCAAGCAGCTTTTGCGGTTGAAGATAATCATAAGAAACCGACGTCAGTTTACGCTGCTTAGCACGAGTGACCGATTGCAACAAGCTTTTAGCGGGAACCAGGTTGGTGGTTCCAAAAGGCAGATCAAGATGTAGAGGAAATTTTAGTTGTTCAGCAAAGGGTTCCCTGCTTGTCAGAAAATGACGAACAATACTAACTAGGGGAACGAAGATATCCAAAGCATGGGAGCGACAGCGCGTGCGATAGAAACGATCACCAAGCGAAACCTATGCTAGACTCAACAATTCGAAATCAACAAGTAGTTCAACAACTTTACAATAGTCGCCTTAGAGTACAACGAGATAATATTTTTAGTTAGAATTTAACGCGGGCAAACCGAGGAATCTCTAGACTGATACACACTGGAATGACTTCTGGAGCACCCTGAGTGATCGATAAGGTACATTTCGGTCACGTAACAGTAACTCAAACATTTCCAGTGCACCCTGAAACTACGCCATGAATGCGTTTTTCTTGGAAGCGAAAATCGTTTGTTTTCAGTTCAGATAGACTTCTAACTAGTTCTGATATCGTAGTGAGTGTGCAGAGCCACACTCCAAAAGTTTTTAAATGATAGATGACAGAAATGTGTTTCACTGGCGCTGCCGAAGCACGCAAATTTATCACTCGCGCTGACTAGGCGTGCGAGCTTATTAAAAGAAAGGAGTTGTATGTTAAAGCTGCGATAGTAACGGTGTATAATAGTACCGTAGTTAAAAATATAACTTGAGTGAACGAAAACTGTATGATGGGTTGGATGGCTATCCACCGTTGCAGACAGGGGCACCTGTTATAGAAGGTGATGAATATATGTCAGCCTGTTGGTAAGCGAAGTTCAAGGGAGTTAGAAGTTTGTAGATTTGACTGATAGTTTATTCGAAGAGGCCTGACGGTAAGAAAAACGCGCTCAGAAAGGAGGACTAATTCAGCGCCGAAATACGGTGTGACCAAACAAAGGGGTAATATATCCAAGTTAACTGTAGTGATGCAATCGTTGATACTTAGCTGGATACTTGCATGATAATCGCGACTACTAAAGAACAGAAGAGACTTACCTCTACGGACACTAATGAAAGTCGACTCCACACCGACCACGGACTCGCCATCGATAATCTGAATGGCTTTGCACTTATATTCTCCCTCATCACTTTTCTGTACATTCCTCAAGTAAAAGTGGTCATCAGAAGCAATGATAACACGATTGTCCAATTCCCACTGATAATGTACGGGGGCAAGGTTTAAGATACCAGTGGCATTACAATAAAAGACAATATTCTGTCCCTCATAGATCACTTGAACTCGTTGTGGATCACAAAATGACAAAAGAAATAGTACAAATGTGCAAGTAATGTGTAAACTACGGTACATGTTTAGCAGAGAGTAGGATGGACGCATATTATATAAGGCATATCGGATCGCAGTGTAAACACACAGCGTACGTAAAAATTGTGACATACAAACAGTAGTTATGTTAGAAACTTATCACACTAATGGTATGGAAAAAGAAGTTGTTTTAATGCACTAATAATATTTATAAAAAACGCGGCTGTTTAATTATTTAGCAATTGCTTAATTGCAACCAAAGTCACATACTATGTATATTTCAATAAAATATAAAAATTCCTTTTTCCATTTCAGTTGTAATATGATTTACCATCCAGTCGTTGTAGATTTACTGGCGTTTGTTTAGTTAAGCTGGAATCCGAAATGGCACATGCTCTATGAGTTCGTGTAAAATGCCCATTTATTGTTATTCTCAAAGCAAAGCGTAAGCAGCGAGCTCAAAGCAAGCATTCTTTTATCTACTCGTATGATAGTGAATGGAAGACAAGTCCTTCGTCAACGCCGTCGTTTCCCATAAATCTTTTTCCATCTATTCGTCATTAGGTTTAGTACAGAAACTGTAACGGGATCCCAAATTACTACTCCATAAAGCAGATCAGGTAATAGTGAAAGTTCCGGCGGTTTAGAAAACATTTCCTGTTTGTCTAGCTACAAAACACGACATCACTTACAGTTCTAGCCATGAGCAACATCAAATGCAAAGTGTAGCGTTCATAGATTTTCAGTTATTGCGCCCTTCTCATTTCGTTTTTTAGGCGTCTTGTACAGGTGTTTTAATTGACCGTTTTTTCATCTACACAATTCTTGATCTCGAACGGCGCGTTCTGCTTTCCTGCGGCACTTGTTGTGATTTTGTTTGTGTGCTTGGGAAATCTGAGCTACGTGGAACCAACAGTGGAATATCGTATCAGGGAGTGTGCAATATCAGTGGAATTAGTCCAACCGTCACTACTTAAGGTCAGCGTGTTAATACTTTTATCTGGCACTGATCCTTTCCTTCCAGTGCGGTAGTTTAATACTTGTTTTCACTCCACTACAACAGCACACCTGGAGGTGAAGTGGAGACCGGAAGAATGAATACCCCAAAGTTTAGCGGCAGTCGAGTTAAACAACCAAGCTCAAAGTGCAAGGCAACCTTCCTCATCAGTCGCCTAAGTCTGCAATGGAAAAATAATTTAGTTAGAATTATGCACAGGCAAACCGAGGGATCTCCAGGTTGCTACAAAACGCAAGGTGACAACTGTCTGTGTTTTATGCATACGAAAAGCAACATTTGCTCAGAGGATCAAACATGAAGAATGGATAGGAAAATTGATTGCTTTAATCTCGGTGTTTACAAGTCTGCGACGTGAATCGCATTCACCGTAGACAACGGTGCATGTTACAAAAAACTAAGTAAACAACTGGGGTTAGTACGTAATTATTTGCTGACTAATCTTTTCATTTTCCCTTTCAGATATTAGAGATTACCTTTGTATCGTACATTAATTTTCTTACGAACATTCATTGGCATTATTGTGCCTGTAATACTAGTCGGTAGCAGTGACATGTATAAGACGTTCTAAATACTAGACCGTGTTGATGATAGTGGCGCCTGGACCCAAGGTATGTTATATAGGCTACTTGAGCAAGCAACTTGTAGTACGTGTGCTACCGGAGCAGAATGTAATGGCAGATATAAGGTCGGTAAAACAAATAGACGTTTAAAATCCAGTGTTGTTAAAACTGAAAGAGTATGTGTTTAACTTTACTGCACGGGCCTTCCCTTATAAGGCTAAGGGATGGAAGCCTTAGTTAGAGCTGTCAAGGAGGAGAGGGTACCTGAGAGTGTGTGTAAAAAGTAACAACTGGGTTTAAAGACGGTCTTGCGTACTGGGTTGTGTGACAGTTTTCACGGGGCCAAGCTACTTACTATTTCTTTTTATTATTTGCGTGTGGACTGGAGTGTATTACTGGCGGGCAGTCAGGGTGGTCTTGTCGGATAGCAAAAAACTGGCTAGTCCAGAAGAGGGACCGACAGCACATTATTTCCGTTGCAGACCCGACGGTGCACATGAAGGAAGTCACTCCCTGCACCGCACTCTACTCTGCGATTTAAACGATCCTCGTCTCACAAAGCAGCTCGGATATCTTTGTCGGCACAATATAGCCAGGCGTTTAGGGGCCGCGGTTGTTAACTTTCGCGGTCAAGGGTGACTGTTGGTTATTTTATGGAGGAGACTTGTGCCGGTTGGCTAGTAATTCGAGGTCCCAGCTTGCGTGTAGTGTTTTCACTTTTGAGCTGGTCTGCGTCATAAATTGAGGTAAGAAAGTAGCAGAAAGCAGAAGGAGGTCTCATGTCAATCCCATCATCTTCAGTTTAGAACGGGTGCATGTGCTGTTTCGCCCAGCAGCCCTAGGGGGCTGGGGAAGTTGCAGTAGAACATTGCGATCTTAGTGTCTTAGGTAAGTGGTAACTAATAGCCGCTTGTATTTATCTTCATACCGAGCACAGCCAACGTTCTCAGTAAGATGGATCCAGTCGTTTGTCACCTAAGTAGACAGGGCGACGGCAGAGTAACAATGGAGCTACATCTGTCTAAAACGCTTAAATTGTCACCTCGTGTCAGGCCTCCTGTGTTTAAAAGTATCGCCTATTAATGTGCGCCTGACAAAAGTTAGGTCACAGCGGCAGCGGAGATAGTCCAGATAGAAAAGAATTATCCGTTGGAAGAGAAAAGGGTAGGTGAGGTTCCGAAGTCCATAAACAAACTTCGCGCCATGCTTCTGGAACGTTTTACTCAAGTCATATTTCAGTTTTGACAGCTGAAAGACAACTGGTAAGCCAAACTCGAGTGTTAGGCCTACGTTAGATACAAATAGTACTCTGTAGATACCTGGTGTCATTTAGGAGAATGACCTATTTTAGGCATGGTAAACTCTGCTAGCATCGGCCATTCACTTTGGCGTATCCCATGTGGTCTTTAGGTTAGGGCTATTATTCTACCTAAGTCTTTCTGTCGAGCAGCTTTCTGTAGAAGGAATTCGTTGTTATTGTACGTACTGAGTGGCTCAGCTGCACCGATCGGAAGGATACCCCAATATTTTTAAAACAATTATTGGGTAGGCGCATGTAATGGATTATTGATTCAGTAGATCTAGCGAGTCTTTTGGTATATCAGTGGCAATGAGCTTGGGTACCTCAAACCATATCTTATGGTCATCAGCTTAGACTATGCATTCATATTAAAGTGTTTCACGTGCATCACTAAGGAAAGGCTTGAGATGTGGAAATATTTTGTTGTTGCTATTCCAAACACTGGCACCTCATGACCGAGGTTGCTTCTTGATTTGGACTGATCAGATGGAGATAGCATGAGCTGGGTTGGAACTCAGAGTCTAGTGTTTCACGGCTGAAGCCATAAACATTATGCCAATGAAATTTATGAGCAAAGCTTGGTACAGCAGAAACGAATTCAAATTTGGAAGTGAAGCATCCGCCGTGTGGTTATGTTGCTACAAGCAACCTCTTGAGGTGGACCTCGGTCATTCCGATCAAAAGGACCGTATGTGAAATGGAAATATTTTAGTGCTGCTCAGCTAAGATCTGTGGCATAGTGTTTGTTGCGTCAGCTGTGAATCACTAGGCTCTGATCTCCACCCCATCTCAGGCTATCTTCACCTAATTAGTCTAAACCATGAAGAAACCGCGGTCTTGTTGTGCCAGTTTTAGGATGAGCAACACCAAAATATTTCTACTTTACATACGGTCCTTGTGACCAGATTGACCGTGATCCACCTGAAGTGAAGCGAGGTCTCAATAGAGGTTGCTTGTAGCAACACAACTTCACAGCGGATTATTCACGTCCAACTTTAAATTCTTTTCCACTGTACCAATTGTTGCTCGTGGACCTCAGTGACATAGTGTTTATAACGTCATCCGTGAGCCACTAGGCTCTGCCTTCCAACGCATCTCATGCTATCTCCGACTAATCAGTCCAAACCAAGAAGAAACCATGGTAATGTGGTGATAGTGTTCGAATGAGCAGCACCGAAATATTTCCATTTCACATGCGGTTCTTGAGACTAGAATGACCGTGGTCCACCTCAAGTGAAGCGAGGTCTTAACAGAGGTTGTTTAGTAATCCAAGCACACAGCGGATTCTCCAAGCGCATTCCCCAACTTAGAAAATCTTGAGAACTTCAGGAACCTTGCGAAGCTCTTCTGCTCTTGTGCACTAGCTGAGAAACTATCTCACTTGCCTTTAGTTGCAGTGTTCTTCAATCTAGAAAACCCTTGATCCAGAAGTAACGTTTGCCACCGAAACCAATTTCGCGGAGCATGCGGAGCCGCTTTTAGTTGAGACCTTATCGAATGCTTTGCTAATATTGACGAAGAACATATCTACTCCTTGACCGGTATCGATTGATATTGTTTAATTTGTCCTTGCTACTGGAAGGTTACTGGTGCAAAAGGGTTACTGAAAAGCAATGCTATGTCGAGGATATGTTTATCCCAGTGCGACTGGTGAGTGCGTTTGATAATCCTTTACATGATCATGCAGCTTTTCAGTTTCAAGCAGATAGGATGAGAATTCACTGGACTTTGAGAGTGCCCGCCTTAGTCTTTTGGCATTACGATACCCGTTTCCCAGTCGAGAAGTAGACGACCATTTTTAGAGATAAATGGCAGGCTTGTTTGATAGGTGCAGCCACGTATCTGGCTACTGCATTGCGAAACAGGGAATGAAGACCATTCAGAACCGGGTAAGGTGTCTGGATCCAGCTCTAGTAGAAGTTTCATGAAAGTATACGTGTTGAGTTCGATCTGATGCAGACTATGGTAAAGTTAGACTCGCAGTTCTTGGTAACCTGAGCTTCCAGCAAATACAAAGAGAAGTAATTTTTATAGAAGGTCCGCTTCGTTATCAACACCGTCCACCACAGAGTTAGTTGTATACGATAACACCGCTGGTATGCCACACCCTGCTGTAATCTTTCTGTTAATGTAAGCATATAGATTTTTGAGCCTGGACTAGGATTTTTTAGCCAGTTTCTGTTCATAAGGTTGC